CTTTTCCCACAAGGTTGGATCGATCTCTATGCCCGGTAACAGTGTAAATCTAGTCTCTGTCATAAAGTCGTCGTCAGGAATTCTAGTAGGTCTGACTCGGCTTCGCTTCGATGGCTAGTAGCAGACCCAAAGACTTCAGGGTCATTGCTTAGCAGTGGTTGTCTCGAATTATCAAGGGTTTGGGAAGCCATTATTCTCACTAATCTTGGTGATTTCCTTATTGGGTTGACTCGGTTATCTTGATGATTGATTGTTTGGTGTTGACTTTCGAACGTGTCAACGACGTGTCTCGCGATAGGGCGGTATTATGGAATATTGACGCTGTAGGATCAACCTATTCCTAACACAGACTGCCTAAGATTATCTCTTAGGGGGGAAAGTCTTGTAGCAAAGATTCAGTTTGTCAGAGATGTGACGCTGCAGAATCTCCCTCTTCCACTTGGTTCGTGATGCAGTCAACGAAGCCTGGAACCAGGTTCTTTATAACCACAAGTGATTACAAGAAAGAACCTAGGACCTTGCCAATCTGTCTTGATATTGCAACCAAGACTGATCAGTGTGGGTGCATAAAGCACGTGTACACGTTAATGTACGTACGTACATGAATGGTTAGCAGGTACTGCAATTCTGTATGGGTTCAAAATGTGTGTGATTGTAGCTATCTAACTCACGCCCCGACGCGGTCTTACATCCCTCTATCCTAGACGAGGTCACGTGACGCCCTGCGGCTCAGTGCGTCGGAGTGAGGCATCTCGATTGCTCCCACAAACCAACAATGGTTGTGTCCGGTAATTTTGTTAGTACGTTTTTTATCCCTAAGTCATACAAGGGTCATATGAGTAGTTATTTTGAGAAATTGAGTGGGAACGCGTATTGTATTGTGTTCAAGTGTGTCTAATAGAATGAAAGTAACTGGCATAGGTGTGCTATACATAATGCAGCGCAGTCCTGTGCGCGTTAATTTAGTAAGGAGTCCTCTTGGCAAATCCTTATATCGAGGAAAGCCAGCTATCCAATGAGGGCATACGAGTGGATATATGCGCTGCGCTCACCATATTCGGGTTATAGCTGAGCGTGATATCTTTCCGGGGGGTGGCGGGTTATAGCTGAGCATGATATCTTTCCGGGGGGTGGATGATATCCTGTTGGCGCTAGTGTAATAAAAATTTTCCTCTAGTTACCCTTTTTAGACAAGTACTATGGTTGGGGCCGGTAATTTTGTTAGCACGACTTTTTTACAGGGGTTGAAATCCAATGAATTCTGCCAGTCATATCTGATTACTAATCTAATATTTTGTATGACCACCTCGAGCATCTATTACAGCTTGGCATCTAGCGTGCATAGAGTCAATGAGCTCCTTCAAAAACTGCTCAGGCAGTGCATCCCAAGCAGCTCGTACAATCTCACGGAGTCGATCATAAGAAAGTTGCTCATCATCTGGATATTGTTCTTGAATCCAATCCTTCATCCAATTCCATACTGCTTCAATTGGATTGAGATCAGGTGAGAATGCTGGCCAATAAATTGGATATATCCCACGAGAATGAAGCTCTTCGAGAGTCTCCTTACTCGCATGGCCAGGTGCCCCATCCTGCATAAATTGAAGCCAGATATCGTCTCGTAATAAGCGAATATAGCCATCAATAATTGGTATAACCCGTTGACAATATCTCTCTGAGTTAATAGTTCCCCATTCCTTCTCCCAGAATAAACACGGACCCTTGTTATTCCCATGAAAAGTAGCCCAGAACATCCATCCACGTTTCCGTGCAGGAGAGGATCGTATGCAAGTCTCTTCTAACTCTTCACCAGCCTTTCTAGTTACCCAGATTCTCGTATGAAATCCTGAAGTAACCCATGTTTCATC